GATCGAAAGCCGCGGGGTATCGTTGAAAGAGAAGACAAAAATGACTGTATTCATAAATATTAGCATTTAATTATTACTCTTTGAATGAAGAAAGTATAAAAAAGTGCAATGCAATCACATACAAAGTAAAGGCTGGGCTGGAGTGAGTAAGAACTCCACCTGATCTATTCGTTATAGACAGTTGGAGAATCGAGGTTGTTCAAGGTCGCGAACCAGGGGATCAACAAAGACCGAGTTGCCGTCGCACAACAACGTCCAGCGTTTCTTTTCTTGTAATATTGAAATGTGGTGAATGGAGCTTTCAGTATATTATATGGATTTAAGTGTTGCAGTATTATGTTGTCAATGTTGACAAGACAACTTTGTTATAAGAGGGAGAAATTTCCTTTTGGATGCAGTTGTTCAATGTATTGAAAGTGATTGAGATCTACTTGGGCAGGTTTTAGGAATCGAGTTTGTAGTAGCGCCTTTTGTTCAAGCGGTAACTACAGGACGCTAATGAGACCCCCATACCCTTACCCGTGCACCCTTTTAAGAGGCCGAATCCTTTCACTAAATTCACCAAAGGTCCCTTCACATTCACCAAAGAGTAGGTAGTAAGAGTAGCTGGAGGTAGGAGAGTTCACGGATGAATGCATGCATGCTCTAGAGAATTCAGATGCATTTATTAATAATTCACCAAGAGAGAGTGAGTGTATGGATAAGGAAAGGGTAGTAGAATAATGTGGTGTGTGAAAGAGTGACAAGTGCACTGTATTTCTGTCCTGTCTACCTGTTGTAAGTGTGCTCTGTCTCAAAGATATCTGGGTAATTATCTATCTATCTTTCCATTTTGTAAGTCTGGCGAATACCTACCCGGGAGTCCTTGGAAATTTGATTGGAGCTACCTACAAGGAGAGAGAGAGACGGGTAGTCACTTATTGTATGTTTTAGCATGAAATATCTTACTGAACATAGTATTGATACATACCTATCTGAAGGTAATACGAAGAAGATATTGCATCTCACGAAAGTATTACTACAAACACACACACACACACACACACACACACACACACACACACACACACACACACACAAAGTCATGCCGAGAAGATGATTTCTTCCTATCAAGCCTCCCTCCTGCCTATCTTACTTCTTCCTTAGCCTATTGGGGATCAATCATTAGAAAAGTCCTAGAGGCTGACTAGGAAGAAAAGAAACGAACTTTGACTCAGGGATGAACTGAACGATCCATCAAAGTTAAGACTCAGGACTACGAGCTACCTTAGATACTCTTTAGCTGAGAGCATAGCATCATCATAGGCTATGATTCTATGATTGGCAGTACCCAACTAAGCTTGCCAAGTTTCTAACCACTACCAGTGCATATCTAGGTATGTTATCTGGACAATTTGATATCTTGATCAAGTGAGAAGCAGGTAGAGTCAGTTGTTTATTTTAGACCACCTAGTACTGTTTCATAGGTTCATAGATTAGTTGATTGACACAAACAAAAAGCTATTTACGAGTTGTCAAAGCCCCTAAACATGAACTTTCAAACTCTCGAAAGAATTTATAAAACAATTCAACGGCAACGGCAACGTCTCCTACAAAATTGATTGCAAAAATTCCCAGTTTTTCTCTCACGCAGACGCTTTGTACGTGAATTGAAATGTGCATTGGTCTCTTGAAGTAAAGCAAAGCCCCCTCTGATATTCCTCCTAAGCGCCACCCTTACCGAGCCTGCTAATCAAATGAGCATCCTTTGTTTCGAAAATTAGTGTCATAGGTACTAGGTATTACAAGTTCGTGTTTCCAAATGAACGGATCTTGTAACAGATTTAAACCCTCGCACGGTTTAGCAATTTCTTGGGCTATGTATTTCCGGTTTCGATGAAGTCAAATGTTTATGATCATCCCCAAGAGGGAACTGGTCACTTCTACGGGGTGTTTCTTTCTTACATGTGTGTTTCCCCCCTCTTTCTAAATGCACCTAACAACCGTGGAATTTCTAGAAGCGAAAAAGAAGGATGATGGAAGCTCACGCATTGATCTTCCACATTTTGAAGTTACTTATTATGTAGGACGAGGATCTTGTTAAAACATATGCTTTCTCGTATCAATTAGAAGTCGTTCCTACGATCGGGAATATTTATAAAAAAATTAAAAAAAATTAAAAAAAAAGTCCGTTAGACGTTAATGAATTGTTATTTTTATCATTTGGCGCGATATAATATCACAAATTCATAATCTATGTGTGACATCGAATTCTCCGAACTCCTCAAGGATTAACCAGTAGGTGTTTACAGGATCTCCACATGCCTATCTGATAATATGTGATGAACATTTCGCGAATTCTAGACATTTCTGTGTCTTAACGAGTAGGAAGATCAGCCTCTTGACCCTCGAAGATTGGCAGTTCTTTCTCTATATCTGCCCAAACCTTGGTGCCGTCAACCAACTCTTTGATAGCCGCCAGGATCTTCTCCTGGGATGCACGGACTTGCTTGGTGGAATCTCTATCTCTCAAAGTGAATGTACTATCGTTAACACTTTGGAAGTCGACAGTGATGCCCAGAGGAGTACCAAGTTCATCGTTTCGGCTATAACGCTTGCCAATGGATGCCGAAGAGTCATCAATACGGCTAGAAATACCCATGGATCGAAGTTTATATGAGATTTGCTTCAGGAAGGGCTTGAAACTCTCATGAGAAGAGAGGGGAACGAGCAGTACTTTAGTAGGAGCAACAATTGGTGGGAATGAGAGGACCTATATCTCGTTAGTCGCTACAAATGCATGAAAATGAACGATCACTTACACCACGTGCTTCATCGCCACCTTCGCTACCACGGGTCCAGTAGTTGTGCTCCATCAAGGCGTACAAAATTCTACCGATACCAAATGAAGGCTCAATTACGTTTGGAGTATATTCTCTGGTGTTTTCAACCCGGGTTCGGAGCTCAATCTTGATAAGATCAGCACCAACTTCCGCTTTACCATCAGCGATGCCATCGACCTCAATGATAATCTTTCCATTGTCTTTGAGCTCCTTTGCAAGAGATTCTAGCTTTTCTTGCGACAGAGCTTCAATAGCAGCCTCAACAGCCTTACCGTCCTTCTTGAATTTGGGGCCGAACTTCTTCTTATCAAGATCAACTTGCCACTCCTCGACGCTAATTGGAGTATCTAATCTTTGACGGACCATCAAAGCCGCACCAGTCTTCTTTGCGTGTACGCTGAGATCGTAAGCGCTTCTGTCAGCACAACCAACACACTCAACCCAACCAGAGCTGGTATGCAACTCGGCATCCCAGCAATCTGCAGCATAATGAGCCATCTCATTGGCCATGTGCTGTCTGAATCTAACTTTGGATTGATCAACCCCAATCTTTGCAAGGAAGAGCTGAATTCGTGCCAAAAAGTAGCCAAGGGTCTCGTTGTCGACAGTGCCATTTTCGACGGCCTTGCCGATAGCCATTTTTTCAACATCAGTTTTACCGGCTAATTGAGTATGGCGATTCAACAAAACAAGCTCTACATCTTTGACGTCGTTGAAACGTTCATGCTTCTTGCCGCCTTCGGGGTCGACAAAATGTTCAATCTCAGCCATCAAGAACTCTCGAACTCTCAATAAACCACCACGAGGAGAGATTTCATTCCTGTATGACTTGCCAATGGAAGCAGAAGCAAATGGCATTTGTTGTTGATTGTACTCGAGAAGCTTGGCGAAGTTGAGAAATTGACCTTGGGCAGTTTCTGGGCGTAAATAACCTGGTGTGTTACTGCTTGGGCCAATTGCAGTCTGGAACATAAGGTTGAAAGCTACTGGTGCGGAAGGCTCCATGCCAGTTTCTGGGTTCTTCATTTCGTACTTTTTGATCAATTGACCAAGTTCTTCTCCATTGTAATTATCAATCTAAAAAGTCAATATTCATACTTGTAATGTCATTAAATGGACGTACCTTGGCCAAAATCTCCTCATATTCTTGAACAACTGTATCATCGAGTTTCACAGCTTCAATTCCCTTAGTCTTCTTCTTCTTCTTCTTTTTTGATGGGTCCTCCTCTTCTTCGACAACTTTGACACCTCTAGCTTCCTTGTCACCTCTCAACCTCGACTCAAGTATGTCTTCAACAAAATGATCCGCTCGCATGATATCGCCGTTCTTGGGGTCTTTGCACATCCAATCTGCAAACTTCTCAACATGACCACTAGTTTGGAGAACTTCAGCTGGAGTCAATGCTGTGCAGTCCAGTTCCAACATATCTTCTTCCAAGACGAAATGTTTGCGCCATAAGTCAATAACGTTCGCCTGCAAGGCGCAACCGGGAGGACCATAATCATACTACGTGAGAAGTCAGTAATTGCCCAGAAAACGACTTCCTAGAATCGACTAAGTGTCTGAAGTTTTATGGTGAAGTAAAAGGGTTGTAGAAGTCGAAACATGCAGAAGGTATTGGACATGGGGAGCATTGTATGAAAGACTTGTTGCTTGCTTACAAGACCAGCGACTCCATTATAGATTTCGAAAGAGGGAGTGTAGAACATGCGCCGCCTCAACATAGAATCGAGGACTTGACGATCAAGGGGCTGACCCTTAAGGGTGGTAGTGGTCGACATTATTTTGTCCTTCTTTCGTGTTGGTGTTTGGTATTTATGGTGGGGTGTAGTAGCAGTAAAGGTTCGAAATATGAGCTGTGGGTTTAGTTTTGGTTTGACAACAATATTTCTTGTAAGGCTACAAAAAGATCGCATTCACCGAAGACTCATCCAACGATAGGTATGAGTCAAAGAAAGTCTGGGGAACTTTTCAAAGCTTTGCGATTTATCAAGGTCGTGGGAATTTCTTTTTGTGTGACTCGTCGCGAGGGGGACAGCCTTGTAGATCCATCCACCAATCGGGAAGAAGCGGCCGCATACCGATACCAGCTAAAATAATTTTTGGATTTCCTCTTCGGTTTTTCTAGACATCCTCTCCTCTAGGTATTTGTTCTACCGAAGTATAATATTCTCACAATGGGTTCCAAACGAGTGCACCCAGCCTCTTCGAAGGCAGCGTTACCTTTTAAAACTGGTAACAAATTCAAGAGACAAGATCTTCATATCAAACAAAAGAAGGCTCGCGATAACGATCGCAGAGATATACGCTTCAAACGAAAGAGAGAAGAAGATAGAGATCCCGAATTGAGAAGGCAGCGATTAGCAAAGAACATTCCACATACAATTGATAATAAGCGTGTTTGGGATGAAGTATCGGGCGATGGAAACGACCTCAATATCAGTGTAGATGTCGAGCAATTGAAGAGAAGGCGCATAGAAGAGGCGGAGGCTGCAGAGCAAGAGCCATTAGATGAAGAAGTAGAGGAAAAGGACGATGATGTCGATAGTATGCTGGACTCAGATTCTGAGAAGGGATCAGACGACGAGGATGAAGAAACCGAAAGCCGACCTCGAGCAGTTAGCAATGCGCCTTCAACAACCAGCACAAATCTCGACCTTACACCATCTTCCTTATTCCTAAAATTTCCCACCCTCTTCACGGATGAACCTCCGCCAGCTCCAAAAATTCTTCTCACAACCTCCTTAAACTCTACACTCCATGCAGAAGCTCATCTGTTATGCACTCTCTTTCCAAACAGCAATTACGTTCCTCGATCGGCCCATCGCTATGGACACAAATATTCTCTACGAGAGATCTGCAAATTTGCTACGAATCGCGAGTATACATCCGTTGTTATGCTTAAAGAAGACGCCAAGGTGCCCACTGGCTTGACCATCGTCCATTTACCATCTGGTCCCACATGTCATTTCTCGATCAAGAATTGGGTTGAAGGGAAGAAGTTGCCTGGTCATGGTAACCCAACAAATCACTACCCAGAACTCATTTTGAACAACTTTCGCACACCATTGGGATTGTTGACTGCGAGATTATTCTTGACACTATTCCCACCACAACCAGAATTACAGGGTAGACAAGTAGTTACGTTGCACAATCAACGTGATTATATCTTTGTCCGAAGACATCGATATGTTTTCAGGGAGAAGCGAGAAACAGAAAAGAGCGTAGTAGGACCGGATGGAAAAATCGTGGAAGGTGTAGAGGGCATTAGAGCTGGATTGCAGGAGCTGGGACCACGATTTACGTTGAAGTTGAGAAGAGTTGATAAGGGAATTGGCAGAGCAGGCAGTGAAGGGGATGATGCTGTTCAATGGCAGTGGAAGGCAGGAATGGAGAAGCAAAGAACAAGGTTCAACCTTTAACCTTGTGGTACTCTGTTATTGTACTCTCTATACATACATAATTTGATTTTTGATACCCTCATACATACAAGTGCCACCCAACATGGTGTTCCTTTCCTGCAAGACTTCAATTCCGGATTACTTCTAGTTGCTTGCCTCTTCTCCAACTTTTCACATATTCATTGTAAGACTTAGCCTATGAAGGGAGAATCCACTACTTTGGAACGATTGAAATCGCTGGCCTACTACTACGATTTACAGTGGTCATAACTAGTGAACTTACTCCCCTTCATCCAATTCGTCAATTTCCTCAAAGCGGCCTGATCAATATGTCTGCTAGTCTTAATAAAGGCAGTCTCAAACGGATTCACATTGATCCCGAGATAAGGTCCTTCGATCAAAATCTCTCCCATCTTCGTCACTGTACAAAATCTCTCATATTTCCTTTTTGTGCCTGATAATTTATCCTGCTTTTTGGCTACATGTTTTCCAGAACCTTTACGATGATGACCACCTTTCTTCATCTAGGTTCCTCCTGGTCTTTTATACTACCTAATCGGTTGACAGCACTCACGATTACTTTGACGCCGTATCCCCCGGCATTGACTGAAGCTGCAGCGCCTATTCCGACACTAATCGCACCACTGAAGCTACGGAAACAGTTGTTGATTCCAGATGCATATTTTTCTGATTCGTCCAGTGCGAGTTTGATATTATTCGCAAGCTGACGCGGCAGTCTGATAAGAACATCTTGGGAAGGGCAGAGTTTTGTTTTGATTTTAAGAGAATAAGCAGTCCAAATCATAGTTCGGATGCGTTTGATGTTGTTCTTAACGGAGATGATTTTGTGAATATCAATTTCGCCGTACGAAATGAAGATGAGGTCGGCTGTATCATGGAGACCATGATTTATGGAATACTAGACGTTAATTCTCGCTTCAGGTGACTGAAAGGACCTATAAGATATGCGGCTCTTCATTTTACGCAGAGGACTGGATGGTTGCTGAAGCAGTCACATTGCCTCCTACGGCGGTTGCATTTTCTGCCTGTTGGTTTGCGAGAAAGGAGTTTAATACAAGTCAAAATATCAAGGAGCATCTCTTCAAAGAATGCTAACTATCATCCCATGAGATTCGCCACTTCCTGAGAGGAGAGCACGCTTGCAGATCTTCTCAAATACTCATGATTTCAGTATCTTTGGCAATAATATAGTGGCATCAAATGCTACTGGAAGTGTCTGGGGTGTTTAACATGCTGTGCTACAAGCTATCCAGCAATATTTTGAATCTAAAAGTTACGCAAACCGATCATCTCCAGATCGATAGAGCTCAGCAAAGCAATAGAAAAAAGTATGGAGCCAAGCTCCCCCGACTGTCATATGCGCAAGTCCTTAATGACTCGAGCGTCGAGATCCTTCGAGGCTATACTACAACCTGTGCTTAGAATGTCGATAGCAAAATATACTCCCGAAATCATCTAAACCGAAAAAATCCTGGTGGTGAAACAAGATTTTAACAACTGACAAAATACTATACAAAGACATCCTGTAGTTGAGGCTTTGGGAGCTTTCGTCAGATATTTTTGAGTCGGTTAAGAATCCTTTATGCCTGAACTAGACTTCGCTGTGCTTCAAGTATACAATGATGGAAAGCTTAAGAGATAACTTTACCTCATTCCCTCTACTCTGCATAAATCAAAGGTCGTTATCTATCCCGTGGGAATCAAATGAGACTTGGAAGAGTGGGGTGACGTTTACACAAACGATTTCCTTCCAATCTTAGAGATGATTGCCTTATCAAACCAACCTTAACATATCATCCCCACGGTGAAGAACCGGGAATTCAAGCGGCATAACGAACAAAACGACAAAATCCAAGATACCAAAGCTGAGACATGAATATTGTACACTCTTTTCAATATTCGATATCAACTCATGAAGTCATTATTTTGAATTAAACATAGAAGTGATATATTTATAAGCTTTTAGATTATTATTGGCATCATACAGTCTGAATTTCAATGTAAATTGATACGATTATAAGATATCAGGATGTGAGTAATTTCAACGCAAGATGATCATTCTATCTAATGATTTAGTGTAACGTTCTTTTCCTCCAGACTCCAATAATCCAATTAGAGAATACCTAAGTCAACAAGGCAAATAGCTTTGCTGTTATCACACTTCGCTGATAAAGCTTGTCATTGATGGTTATCGGGATATTTCATGATAACCAGGCCGCGGGGTAGTAGCCAGTGACATTTCAATTGTCGAATGAGAGCTCAGAGTTGGTCGTCACCATTGCATATACTTGCTCTTTTGGGCCTCTAAGTGGAGAGTCTAGATACACTGCATAATCTCATATCTATATGATCACCGGCAATGATATACTTCGTGATAAGTTCGTTATACACCTTGACCACTTGAGATGTCTTAAAAACAGAGAGATCATCGGAATGGTTACCTGGCCAAACAACTAGTACCTTCTGTCGTCTGCTACGGTCAAAAGGTAAAAGTCAAACTTATTTCTACAATAGCTACCTTTCAATATCTCTTCTGCTGCTTATATTTGTGTCTTGTTTCACGATGGAGCACACCAATCATCAACGTGATGAACTGGACACACGAGCGGTCCCAGGGACCATTCACTTGGTAGATCTTGAAGGTGTAATGAAGGGGCAGCATGCATCTGCATCTCGACTACAAGATGTTGTCCTTGTTCCATCGCCATCCAGTGATCCAGACGATCCGCTAAACTGGTCGCCGAAACGGAAGATGCTATCGACAGCATGCATGTCCATGTATACTTTGATGGTTGGAATAGCATCTGCCGCAGTTTACAGTGTATTGGAGCCCATAAGTGAGGACACTGGCTTAACAGTCGATCAGTTGAACGCCGGTACGGGCTACATGTTTTTGTTTTTCGGGGTGAGTTACACTATCTCGTATGCTTCATTTCACAGCATAAAACAATGGAAGGTCTAGAATGGTTGGGGAGGCATGGAAGAACAATCGAGGTTTGTCTCAAAATAGCGTCTAGCCCTTTCTTCCTTTCCATCAGAATAAGGTTACTTTTACGGGATCATAGCAACATGTTTGATATTTGAGTACCCAGTCGCTGATGTTGTACTTCGAGTCCAGTGGGGAACTTTAATCGCCCAGCCCATGGCGCTACAATACGGCAAAAGACCGGTGTATCTGTTCTCTATGCTAGCAACTCTGGGGTCAGTAAATGTATAATTCATCATATTGCTTGCAGAAGTACTGACAGAACAAGTACCATGCTATGGGTGCCGCATGCTACAACAAACTCTGCCTGGATTGGAAGTAAGATCTTACAAGGTGCTGTTGGGGCCCCTATCGAATCACTTTGCGAAATTTCGATCACAGATATTTATTTTGCCCACGAAAGAGGTTCCTACATGGGACTGTATGCTTTCATGCTGGCTGGAAGTAACTTTTTAGCTCCAATACTTGTGAGTCGTCAAGAGGTGATAATTGTCCCTCATTTAAGCTTACAATTTTATAGGCAGGCTTTATTAATGACGGACAAGGATGGAGATGGGTGATGTATTGGTGTGCTATCTTTCTAGCCATTGGATTTGTATTCTGCTTCTTCCTTATGGAGGAGACAAATTACGATAGAGCACCCCAAGAAAAGACAACTTCCGGAGATGACACACCTGGAATGACCACACCAACAGAAGGGGTGCTCCAAGAGAAGTCTTCCGCTTCTTCAGAGCCACTTGATCCTGAGAAAGGTACTTCTACCGACGTCTCAAGAGCAGCTAATCAGAATACTGAGCTCGGAACCGTGCATTACAAGCCGAAGACATATATCCAAAAGTTGTCTCTAAAGGATAAGAAAAGAGATTTCAGGCTCTTCCGGATGATGATTCGACCTCTCATCTTCATGTCTCTACCATCGATTGCCTACGCTGGATTCTCGTATGGCAGTAATTTAATCTGGTTCAACGTCCTCAATGGGACTGCCTCATTGATTTTGAGTTCTCCGCCTTATAACTTTTCGTCTTCCATGGTCGGATTGTCTTATGTTTCTCCCTTACTTGGGGTAGCTTGTGCTTCCTTTTATTCCGGAGTCATAGGAGATAGAGTCGTATTATGGCTCGCCCGTCGCAACAAGGGGGTTCTAGAAGCAGAGCACCGCCTTTGGCTGTTCTCAGTATCCATAATTCTTATACCTGCCTCTTTGATTCTTTGGGGTGTCGGAGCAGCCCATCATATACATTGGTTTGGACTGATAGTTGCCATGTTCCTTATTGCTGGCTCAAACGGGATTGGTCTTCAATTGTCTGTTTCGTACTGCATCGACTCTTATAAAGATTTGAGTGGTGAAGCCATTGGTATGTACCTTCTTACATCTTCCTATATGCGTTCCTCAAGTCCAAGCTAACGATTTCACAGCTACTGTAATTATCATCCGAAATACAATGAGCTTTGCAATAGGCTACGGTGTCACGCCTTGGGTTACTAACATGGGTTATCAAAATGCTTTCATTGTGGCTGCCTTTGCTGGCCTTGCTCAAGTTCTTACGTTCTTAGCGGTGGTGAAATGGGGCAAGAGTTGGAGAAATAACACGAAGGGAAGATACTACAAATACGTGGAGGAAAATGAGATCTTAGGAGTCACGCACTAGGAGAATTAGAAGTACAGGTAGGGAGGAGATTATGAACGAGATATGAGCTCTCCTCCCACCAGTCACATTTCCACATACTTTAGAATCGACTGAGGCTTCAAGAGACAGGTGACAATGAAAGGATGTACCCATCACAACACTCGCAGTGCACTAAATGTATTTTATTTGTTTCAACCTTGGCATTGAACACCAATGTCCAGCTGCCACATCAAAACTGGACATTATCGTCCGCTCTTGCTTCCGCTCGACAGTATATATCTGTGGTCACGTAATTTGGATCGAATGCACTCTTCAACATTAATATTTAAGTTGCGCGTCTGCGAAAACACGAGATAGAAATTTACACGACGTTTGCGTCCTCGCGCGCATCAAGGAGTACGGTGTTGGATTCGGGATCTCGGATCTACAGGCATTTATATTAAGTGGTGAGACTCGTCCGAACTCAGCTCTAGCTCAGTTGCACGAGGCCTAACTGCAGGAAATTTGACGATCTCGGGAGGAAACAAGACACTAATAATAGTCATCATCGGAAGAATAATGAATCTAAAGTTGCAACGGCTGAATCCATCCGCTACCTTATCAATGCCCAGGTGCACAAGGAGATTTGATTCTGCTTAAACTGTGAAGGCTGTTGATCTGATTTGACCAAAGTGCCTTTTTCCGTTTGCTCATAAGTTACCTTTGAATACGAGCTACATGACACGCTCTGCGAAAGCTTCACAACAAACGTTCCAACTGGTGAGGCTTTCGCGAAGAAAACAATTCTATTAGGGGCCAAAGGACGTGCATAACGCCAAGTCCTCGTCATCCGGGAGGAGCCATGACTGAGATGATCTCGAGATGACTTTGTTTTTCTCGAAAGCTTAAACTGCAGTTTCCACTGCAGGCCTTCTCCCATTCCACCACTTCCACCGATGGTAAGGGAGTTCCATATAACGTTAAAACAAAGAAGAAAAGCGACGTGAGAAGAAAAAAGAGGTTGTGATCAAAACATGCGTATCCAGCTATCACAAAATCATTGCATTTGCATGGCCATCATGATTGGCACCACGAAGTCGGAAAAACCCCTTCATTCGAAAATTTCCGAATTTTAACATTCTTAGCAGCAGTTGTAAGGGATCATGCAAGAAAGTCATGTACCGTGCGTACGTTCAGCCCTCCAAAGAGATTTCTAGCATGGAAGCATTCATGTTCATTAACATTTCTACGCTTTTTCTTGTTGTCGACTTGATCGGGCATGGTTCTAAGACCTCTCTCACCCCACTCACAATCCTTTCTACTCTCAGATCATTGTGACCTACATGAATATTTTCTCTAAAGAGTATAACCAGTTCTTAGACCTGCATCTATTTGTAGGAACTATACAGAAAAAGAAAACCGTCCCATTTGTCTCATTCAGTGATGGGAATTATAAGATGGCTGCACAAATCCTGCATCCTTGTTGTGCATCTATGGTAGGCTGCACGTTGACGGTTGTACCCATACAAATCGGATTTACTCAAAGTTTCGACCCTATAAAACTATGTTACTTTTACACACTTCCCTACGTCTCTACTTCCCTGCTCATTGTCGCTGCATATCAGGTCAGCTTGCTTCTGCTTTGTGGGTTTAATAGGAAGTCTACTTCCCACTTTGCAACGCTCTTCACTTCTTCATCGGTTCTTATAACCCTCACAGTCGCTTCAATTTCTTGAGAGCAGTCTTTCGTTTACCACCAGTCTCGACATAATAGCAGCTGGGTATAAAGTTTCGCGTCTATAATTTTTACTACATATAATCTTGCAACCAACTCATCTATTGGAAGCAATTGCACCTCACACTCCTTCAAGAAACGATCATCATGAAGTCTGTTTCGATCCTCGCCACTGTGGCCTTGGCTTCGCTGTCAAGTGCACATCCAGGGCCTGCCATGCCAAAGTTGATGGGCGGCAGGGAATTCCTCCAAACTGTCAAGGGCCGCAATGCCATGCCAGCTCCAATCGCATCCCCCGTACATGTAGAAGAGAGATCGCCTAAGGTAGCACCAAGAGCGGACGATCCAAATACTTGCGGTCCAGGTGTTGGTAGCTGTGTAAATGCATGCTGCTCTCCAGAAGGGTGGGTACTTTTATCTCAGCCCTACAGACCTCAACTAACGGATCCACCAGATATTGCGGTACCACGAAAGAGTATTGTGCAGCTCCAGATTGTCAATATAAATACGGACCTCTTTGCGATACACTCCAAGCTCCAGCTGGTGCTTCTACAGCAAATATTCAACGCCCACATATTGGGACTGTTCCATATGGTGGAGCTGGCATTTACGATTGTCAAGTTGCTGGAGGTTTGTTTCCCTGGGCTTTTTAGGGCTTTGAAAGAGGCTAATTTATGTACTCTGATAGATATTGCCTTTACTTTCGATGATGGACCTTATCTTTACACTAATGATCTCCTGGACAAACTTGCAGCTTATGGGGCCAAGGCTACCTTTATGATTACCGGTAATAATCTTGGAAAAGGTGCAATTGATACCACTGCAGAGTACACTGCTGTTATCAAACGTATGGTCGCAGAAGGTCATCAGATCGCATCCCACACCTGGGGTCACCAGAATCTGACATCCCTCGACCCAACAACGTTCAAGAATCAAATGTACTATAACGAGATGGCTTTCAGAAACATCCTCGGATATTTCCCAACATATATGAGACCTCCTTATTCCGAGTGTAACGCCACCTGCGGAGATCTCATGGCAGACTTGGGATACCATGTAACTTATTTCGATTTGGATACTGAGGGATATTTGAACGATGCTGCAACTCTCATCCAGAACTCCAAAAACATCTGGGACAAGGCCATTGCCAAGGCAGATGCCACTACAGGAAACTTCTTGGAAATCGAACACGACATTCATTATCAAACCGTCTACAATCTTACAGACTACATCCTCGCTTCCATGTACTCTCATGGATTTAAGTCTGTCACCGTTGGAGAGTGTCTCGGAGATCCATCTGAGAATTGGTACAGAAGTGGCAATGCTAATGCTCCTGTTCCTACACCAAGTAAACAAATCTCCGATGACGGTTCCTGCAATGCTGATATTACATGTCTTGGCTCCACCTATGGAAACTGCTGTTCTGTCAATGGTTATTGCGGATCTACAGACGCCTATTGCGGTACCGGTTGTCAATCTGCTAGTGGAACATGCTCTGGATCATCTACGTCCTCAACTAGCGCAACCAAATCCTCAACTTCTGCAAAGCCAACCAGCACCCAAAAGGTTTCAGATGATGGAAGCTGCTCGAGCTCTACCACTTGTAACGGATCTAGCTTTGGTAATTGCTGCAGTCAATATGGATACTGTGGAAGTACTACTGATTATTGTGGTACTGGATGTCAAAAGAGCTTCGGCACTTGTACTTAGGAGGTAATCAGATGAGCATGGAATGGAAATTGGAAAAGTTTTTACTTTCACTGTAAATATAACACTATGGGGGGAATTGGGGTAATTTTTATGATTACAATATAATTATTGTTTAATGGATCTTTCGAACAAAGCCAAGCACAACACCAAAAACTACTATATATTTGACCTCTCGGTACACCTGGTGAGTATGGCCTGGCTTCTAGCATCCTCTCAACATCATGAGGTTGTTTCATCGCTCCAAATCCAACTCTTGTCTGAACCGCGACCGTGAAGGTCCATTCACAATACACATCTCACATGAATGAAAATTCCAACAGCAGAGAAGTGAGAGATGCAAGTCAAACCTTCGGAGACTAAATACACACCTCAAACCATCTAAGATCTGAAAGGACGAAATGAGTTGTACATCAAAAACACGCATCCTTTGCCAAATTCGATACAACATCGGACAATCAGTATCTGAATCGCCATTTTCGCACGGCACAATAGAACCATTCAGTTGATTTGATCAGGAGATCTTAACCTCATTAGGATTCCCTATTGTTATTTCATAATCATCGAACTGCCAGTGATTCTCAAAATTTCAAACAATTAAAGTGACTTGGTACATCACTCTTTATTTCACAAGTGGAAAGCAAGCCAATAGAACGCTAAGCTATAACGAGTAACGCTTTTACTAGATACACACCATTATTTACTCAAGATTATCTGAAAGAAAGGTTCGAACAAAAAATGATCCCTCCTCAACATCAATAATACCTGATAACTCATCGCAACTCAAGCCCCCTACCTATATCCATATATATACCTCTCATATTATACTCATCGATCATCTTCAAACGGTCATACTTGCACCAAGAAAGACTTTCTATCCTCGCTTGTTAAGTTCTAGGTCTTATCGTGAACATGACAAGTCAAGCGGCGGATTCGCAGATTAATCATGCGGATGCTATCAATTAGTGCGTTTTATTTCCCTCCTGATATCTCCCCTCGAGACCTCCTTCAACATCCGGTTCAATGTGTACTTTTGGGAATTGAATGACAAGACGACAAAAATCGATATGAGAAGTGACAAAGACTGACAAAACACACAGCTGGGAAAACATAGAAGCAAGTGATGATGGAATGTTGGGCGGCTTTCCGTATATCAGTCGAGTGGATATACAGGGATCAAAGAACTTCTTAGGGAAGCTGGGGGTAAAGGGTGCGAAATTGGGGAGGGCGGTGGATTGTGGGGCGGGGTGAGTTATTCTTTGTTGTGGAAATTTTTTGTCTCTTTCCTGGGCGTGGATTAAGTCTTCTTGAGGTGTTTTCGCCGTGTTGTGTCTTTTCATCAGCTGATCAAGGATGAGAGTTCAATAACTGAAAGTTCAGTGCTATCATACGAATTGTATCATGGATTGGGGTTGTTCGTTGGTTTTAGAAGCTTGAACATATGTGAGCTAATACGACTTTCAGAATCGGTCGAATTACAAAAGCATTGCTTCTTAGTGTTGCTGACACAGTGGATATTGTGGAACCAGTAACGAAGTTCTCTTCTGCGCTTATAGACAAACCTGGAGTTGGCCAAATATACTCGGTTGGCCTCGAAGCGTGGACACCAGATGCAGAAACCAGATATGATTTGATGTGGAACCAATGGTGTCTAGGACATTTGACTGACTCTCAACTGGTGGAGTATCTTCAAAAATGTGGAAAGATGTTGAATGAAAATGGTTGGATCATAGTGAAAGAAAACATGAGCACGCATGCTGGCAATGATATGTTCGACGAGCTGGATAGCAGCGTCACTAGGTATGTGAAACCCATAAATTATCAGGATATAAAGCTTACATGAAGCGTTAGGACTGATGAGAAATTCCGTGCACTCTTTGAGAAAGCCGGCCTGAAGTTAATGAAAACGGAACTGGCGAAAGGTTTCCCGAAGGGATTGTACCCTGTCAGGATATATGCATTGAAACCGGAATGAATATCAAACATAGCTGCCACAAAATTCTCGACATATTAAAAACACTCCGCCTATCAAGCGACATTATAAAAGTACCGGTTACTTGACAGCTTTATATGGCTTGAAGGGGCAATGCAGGTCAAGGAGAGTATTCTGGGACGAATGGTTCTATCCTAGAAAATAGATTCTGAAGAGTACAGTGCGAGATATACTCGTCTACCACTGGAGTAATTTGCCACAATGTATAAGAATATGAAGATTATTCGTTCTCAAATGAAATGAGTCTAAGCAAAGTCGCTGAGCTATTGAGGTGAACATATTCTCGAAATGGTGACCCAGATCAACCCTATAAACTGTCGATCTCAAGTGCGAAGCTCAAATTTTTCTTACCATCCACAACTACGACCATGTTCCTTCTTGGAATGGTAGAGAAATCAACTATTTGAGAAACACCTGGACGTCTTCAATCTCCTGGTTTGTCTGTTTTCATTGCTCACACAACTTTATCATCATCAAGATATCAGATCTTACAATATGGCCCCACGATTGATTCCCCTTTTGCAACTCAGTTTTCTTGGTACAATACTTCTTATTCTACGAGTTATCATCCTCTCAGCAAGTACTTATATGCTCGAACTATGGTCCCCAATTATCTCCACCAGGCTCTCCCTTGATAAATAGCAGTTCTTCACTTTGAGAATCGAGCCCCAAAACCCAAATAGTACAGGGATACTTCATTCTTACGGGACAAAAGTTGGCCTTTGAAGATTTTATTTCGAAGTTAACCATTTCTATAAAGGATGTCGGTTGCTCTCGATCATTGAGCTCCATTTTCTTGCTTATTGATTTATTGTACTCTTACAAGAACAATCATCATCACCACAATTTCGACAGCAGTGATCACTCTAAATTGAGAGTTTATCGCAATTTTTGTTTCTAGGCTTGATTATACTTCTTATTATTCTTTACCCCATCAAGGATTTTAAAATGTCGTCAATTTTTGATCTTTTTGCACAAGTCATCTGTAATATGAATATTCATTCTTTTTCCTTTGCATCATTATCCAAATTCCAATCTTTCTGCTAAAGCGAGTTCAGCAGTTAAAATGGACGATATGTCGGAAATCAAAGCACAGGATCGAAAGTGTTCGAGTTTGTCTGATCGGGGACATTTCGTGAAGAGAAGGAACTGTTGTATAGAACCGTCAAAGGAGACGTTATTTGTCACGACAGTCTGCTACTAGAAATAGCGAAAATGTTACTAATTCGAATACACAGCTTCATAGAAATAGATGATGCTCATCCTTCTCAGATGATCAGATGTGATTCTTTGTGACATGTATCTTAAAGCCTCTATATTCGACGCTACAACATTTGTATTAAATCATTTCTCCTACGGATATGCTGATAAAAATCATGTATCAATAAAACGCAAGCAGATTCATTTCCACCCAGCCGAAAATTTCCAACTAGAATCTCGGCAGGCTTTTGATTCCTACATCCATTATCCACCTCACCCACACTCACTATACCAATTTTTTGCTCTTCACATACTATTTATCCTCTCACTGGTGGCCAATTCTAGCGAGCGATTATTGAGATATAGTCCCACGTTCTAGACCATCGATCCATCTATCTGGAGGCCACACATCTGGTCTGGATACAACTATCCTTGAATCTCCATAATATAAGTTTCACAAGGTATCTATGTATTACTCTATATAAAGCTATCCCAGGAAAGAATTTTTCTTCTCAGAGTTCATTTGAGTGCGAGGGGTTTTGTATGTATGTAATTGAGCTATCGGGTGGATTGTCTGAATCTGGATGGGAAATGGGAGGTTCGATGAGATGTTTTGTGTGGGATGTGAGAGACTTTTTTCTTTTGTATATTGAGTTCTGAATATCTATGAATAAAGGAGCCAGTGGGAGCCAGTGATTGAAAATTAGAGTTGAAACTTCGGGTAGCGGAGATAAATTTTCGACGCGTGGAATATTGTGATATCTAGGTATGTATTTTGTTACGTTTCTCTTGTATTTCGGGTGTTTCAGTCAGTCAGTCAATCAGTCAGTCATTCAGTCAGTCTTCATGACCGATACCTTTAGTGGAGATTGTATAGGGTACAGCATCGGTTTCCGAGGAATGAGATACACAGTGTGATTCATATGTGGATGATTGCTCGGCCTGGCTTCCTATCTATGTTTGTTAAGAATGCAGATTATGTACCAATAGAGAAGAGATCTGGAGAGTAGAAAATAGGATAATTAGCTGTCGACTCGTTACTACAGTGTTACTCCTCTATTATTTCTTTGCTTTGCGTAAGGGTTTCCAGCGATTGCAGCTACGTGCACCCGAATTTTGGACTTCCCGCTTATAATTAACACTTCACATAAGATTCCCATAGCAAAGCCAGCATCCAAACAGAACAAAACACTTCAAAATTATTAAAACATCATATTGTAGTCACCCGCTCGTTCCTGCATAGAAGCTCCACTTGCTATCGAAAAGCGGGAAGTGGATCTCCTGTTCAGTTATTGATATGTAGGTATGATTCTGTGAGTGAGGGTTTCTGTAGACTGAAAATTTTGCGATGTTGGGGAGGAAGTAAATTCTGGGGATCTTTTAGAGTGTGAATATGGAGATAGAGGGAGAGGTGAATGAGATGGCGTTGGATTTCTCGTATGAGGGGATAGTTATATGGTTCTTCTTCAAACTGTTGACTACTGGTCAAGGGAGATACAAATCAATATCGATAATACTACACTACTCGAGTATGACTGAATATTTCGTGTAGCAATATAGTATTTTGTCAACTATCCCACCCATTGGCAAACACTAGCTCGTAAAGACGACGCATCTCGCATTCATCCCATGTAAGAATACACTTCGAATTTTCTCTCAACCTGGAAGGTAAACTGACAAGCTACGGCAAATGATTCGGCTTAGTAGTCTCCACTTCCTTTCTCTTTGAGCCGCAGCAAGGCATCCTGAGTATGGAGCATAAACAACTCACTCAAATATCCATCCCTATTTCCCATCTTGCATCTTAGGCATAGGGGTAGTAAAACCCCAAAGCACTAAACCATCTATGCACCCACCTTCCCCCAAGTCCAGCATCTCTCCTCCCAAACTATCTCGTAACAACAACCTCAAACCATCCAAACCCACATCCCCAAGAAAACTCTTCCTCACACCGACTATTTCCCTCTCCCAATCTCCCTTCTAAATTAAGACCAAAACCAAGAATTTTTCTCCAGAACAAAAGCTTCCAGACATTTTCCACAGCGCCAACTCCATATATATGAAGATTCTGACATGAAAAATTTCCACCACCATGTCACATCTGTGCGTACCCAGCTCTCTCTTCACTCGAGAGTTCCGGGGTCCAGAAGTGGGACATGCGAGCCGGGCCCCCGGCAGACGTTCCACTAGAACAATATGATAGGATAACTGCGTGCCCAGCTACCGACCCAGGAACAGGAACAGGAGCTAAAATCTAATTGAATGCTTTTTCGATAACCGATGGAAGGACGTTGGAAAATGGTCGCGTGAGCTTTTTTATGAAACAAATGATAGGTAAGGATTAAGTTAGAGCTAGCTATGCTAAATTGAATTCTTTCATAGCCAGCGGTTAGCCTCGCAATTTGTCGTGGTCCACACACAGTAATAGATCCACAGGGCTGAGGAAACTTTGCCCTAGTAGCCTTATGCCCAACACGATGTACAGGGATATGTTTGGTCTAGAACTTTGATAAAATTCTGCTGATTCATATTGAAGATAATATTTGTAAACAGTCCATTGAGAACAGTAACTTTCTGGATATTTTGAGAGAAATGGACCACATAGACTCATTTCGCGAACAATATAACGTAAATAGACAAACATACCATATCATAGAATCCACAAATATATGCCCTGTAAACAATCACAAGCCATGATATATCCCTTCCATCAGCTTCACAAAGAAGGAAATATACGCCAAACTCCCCAGTACCCGTTACTCACAAGAAACAAGCATAAAAAGGTAACACCCCTCCCTCTCCACTCGGAAAATAAAACCATCGTTCTCTACGGTGTAGTATTCCGGAAGTAACGAACCACCAGCCAACCATCGTGACAACATTCCTAATCCGTATACTTTCCAGGTATGAAAAGTGGCAAGCAAATCAGCGACCGAACTGCAGACCGTATATTTCTCCACTGTTTGCTGGAGATGCACTTCGAGAAAACTTCTCTCAAGGTAGGAGATAACTGGAGAACATGATTCCACATGAATTTCTACCAGGGAGAATGTTTTTATTTTATTTCATTCACCGTTGCTAAGAAAATTTGAGGTGCTATGGCCACCCGCGAGATTTTCATCGTATAATTCCCCGGAAAGGGCGTTGCGTGAGTGGTTCACGATATTTGCGTCCCATGTTCTTGGGCAACCTTTCTCAAAGCCTGTCGTGGCTGGGTCTGCACGTACCTTGATACTTTATTGTATGAAGATTTTCTGATATTCCAGATTGAGACGTAAATCGCTAGATTGGTGCTGAGTATATAGAGAGGGGGAAAGTCGTCGCACTCTGTAAAAGCTCTTTTGAAGATCGTAGTATTGTACATTCGTTTGGACACTGTAACGAACGCTCATTCATTCGTGGGAGACGAAAATACATTCATTCATATTATTTCTGAAGTCTAGAAAGCAAAGAAGGAAACGAATAATTAATCCCATAACCCAATAATCCTCAAATCACAATATCAAGAATCGAAACTTTTCAACCCTTGACCATCCACACCCAAATAATTCCATGAAATTCGAGTCTCGATCCCCCCACATCGCCGTGGCCCCTTCTACTGGCGCCCGCATCCTCTGTATCGACGACTACAACGACGGCCGCGGCGTTTTCGTGCAAGCCTACCTCGAATGTCTACGTCTCTGGCAAGCCAACTGTTCGCCAGACCGCCGCTGGATATTCAACGACGTCTCATCCGCGGGACTCTATCTCGCCACCGACTTCAGCAAAAACCATCGTTCTCTCTTCCGAAATGAGCTCCGCAGACCCAAGCAAGAAGATCGAAGCAACAATTCTCTCCACGCATTCCAACAATCCAAAGCATGTGATAGTTCCGAAAAACGCGCCATCTTAGCGCGCGTGGGAACGAGAGAGATGAGGGGAATTAATCGCGAGGATTTCGGGACCAAGGATATGATTATTTGTTTTGATCATGGGGATATGGAGATCTTGGCTTCGTTGCGCGATGAAGCAGAGCGGGAAACACGCGAGTCCCAGAAAGCGAAGATCCATTATATACCGCTTGGCAAGGGATGGGAATGTGATTTAGATGCTTTTGCGTGGGCAAGAAAAAATGTTCGACAGTGGGCGACTAAGTACTTGAGATTTAGAGAGCCAGCTGAGTTGATCAGGAATGGGAGTTGGAGGACGATGCAGGTGGTGATTAATGAGTATGAGTGGATAGCTTTGGTGAAAGACCACGAGAGGAGATTGAGGAAGATTGGAGAGAGAACAAAATGTGCTTTTCATTTTGGTAGAAGTGATTATGGGAAGGTGGTTAGTGTTACTGGGGGGAGAAGAGAGATTGAAGTTGCGGCAAGGATGATTTTGGAGAGCTTCTAAGTTGTCGAGTTTCTTTCTCAGCAGTGCTCCTGTGTTTCATCTTTTCTTTTACAAAAGTTTTTGCTGGGGTTTTTTTGGAATAATGATACCATGACATAGATTACATCATATATAGATTTAGACTAGACTTGTACTCATACCACTGGGTACGAATCGCAAGATTCGGAAAGTGGAAGGAGATGCAGCTTGTAGATATAGTTAGATTTCCTTTGTATTGGGATAGGGGAATCAGTACCCGACGGAAAACAAAAGTAAAATAGAATGTTGGAATTTCTCTTGTTTGACAGACTGATTACTTTTCAATCGCATTGTGAGTGACTGTTATATAGACCAGAATAAAGGAAGATGCTTTACACGACACTTCCACTTGGAGCAAAGGGCAGCGGAATGACTAGTCGTGGACGTGCAAGTGTACGTGAAATATCATTGAAGCCGATGATATGTGATTCAGGGTAGCTATGGTCCCTTTAAAGAAGATGATTTAATTGAACAAGCCGGATTTCTATGATGTACATCGACTTGTACGCCAACTGGAATACCAAACCCTAATGTTACCAAACGCCAATCTCCATATACTTCCGTAGAGGCATGTTATCATCCATATTTCCCTGCCGATCATGTATTTATTCATGATGCATCCCCGCTAATATAACACATAGATCTATAATTCCGTACACCGTATCCCATGTTTTTCGCCATCTTGATTAATCGATTCTGTCTAGTTCAATTCGACTTCATTGCCCATCTTTCTTGTCTTTCGCAATCTCGCCTTTCCGATTGTCGCCTGGGCACCTCTGCCTTTCCAACTTCATTGGCATTATCATTGCCAATTCAGGACAATATTCGAAAATTTTCTTCCTCTGATCAGGGTCCATCCAGACATCCTCCGGAAGCACCTCTCCTCCATCTCGTACATGGAACCCCATGGGCCTCTCATGATATCTGTCTTCGACCGAGAAATGATCTTCCTTTTCACCGCTGGCTACTCGTGCTCCTGGCAATAACGTGATACGTTTCCCATACCACTCATCTTCGGGGGTCGTATCGTTAATTCGGGATTGGAATCCGAGTATCTTTTTTACAGTGGAAATTCTTCGGAATGAAAGCCCACCATTGCCTGCGAAGTGATCACCGGCGATTCTATATGAATATGTTAATTTTCGTTCCCCGAATGGTAGTAGATTGCTTGAGAACAAAGTATCTCTTACCTAGGAGCGCCAGCCCAATCATAGTCTAGCCAATCATTCAGACTTTCTTCCGAATTTCCACACATAATACTATCCGACTCATATTTGAGCAACCATTCGACCTCCGGCATAAATTCATCATAGAACCGAATGTCCGTAAGCACCCTAAAAACATCCTCCTTACTATCCACCTTCCACGGCTTAGGAAGAACAATCAAGTCCAGCTTTCCATTAGCCTTGTGATATTGTGTTGCGAAACTGCGGGATACAACTTCTACACTCTTATTCGTGCCGATAAACATAAAGCGCCAATCCGGTGGCACAACGGAAATCATATGTAGGATTTGCGGGACGAGATGAGGAATAGTTCTGCCTTCGATGAGAAGCGCAACTTTGGAGGCATTGAATTGCGCGCGCGGGTCATGGTTGGGATACCAGTCTACTTTGATGGCGGGGATCTTCTCGGCGGCAGATGATAGTTTGTTTTTGATGTGTCCTTCGACAACTGGTCGATAGCGTGGGAGAAAATGTGCTATCCACCATCTAGCATGAATAATTAGATTATGTTCTCTGGTCTGCGAAGTGCGTTTGTCTCTGGAGACAGGGCTGAATTGGGCGCAAGACTTACGTTGCTATCAGTGCTACCAGTAACAGAATTCTGGTTTTATTAATAACCAGTACTCCATTACCCAAAGAACTAGACCGAGAGGGCGACGACGACATTGTTTCCGCACAGCAAGAAGAAGAGGAAGTACAGCTCCAGTAAATTCAAAATAAGTGAATATCAAGAAACCAGTTTGTTTTCCGCAATAGTAATACAAAAACGAGAAACTCCCCAAAGATCAAAACATAAGAAATGCAACCGGGCTAGAATTGAGAAATTGATTCGACCTGCCACCTTACATGGATGTGCATGATGACGCCTCTTTCAATCCAGACACGGAAGATTCATCTACCAAAAGAAGACGAGAAGACAGGAAGCTGGATTACGATTCTCCCCAGCCAAGAAATTTAAAACGTGGTTTGGGCATTTAATATTATGGAGGGCGTGGGAATTTAATCCGATTTCTGTGTTCTGAAATGCCCCAATATTTGTTATCTATGCTCTTGCTGGCTTAGGTCGGTGTTCATACTGATCCCGACATCTACAATCCCTGCGTGCATCTTTTCGATGGAGATTTGGTATGCGGTCAAGGTCTATTATGGGAAAATATATCTCAACTGTTGATTATTCTTTTTGAAGATATAGATATATAAATATATATATCAGGTATATAGGTACATGGCGAGTATCTTCTCAATCGGGAAATAATGTATATATTGGAATGGCTAGTTCCGGAGGTGTGAGGAAGAAAAGATATCATTTTCCGGAAAGTTTCTGTGGGGGGTTGCTTGCAAGACATGATGGCCATTATGAGGAATGTGGGAAGCCCCTTCATTTAGACGTCTGGCTTCCCGCCACCATGAAGAATGCCTTTTATCAGTCAGTAGCGATAGTGTGGTAGAAGTAGGAGACATGTAGCAACGATGATCACAAGGTTATGCAAAATTTGGAAGAAAAATTACAAATAATTAAAACCACCACTAATTAGTCTATATAAGCACCCGTAACTCCATATCATATACAACAAAGACCCTTTTCACAATGAAATAGCCGAACCCCTATCCTTGTTTACCAGTTATGCCATACCATATTACCATCCTACACCTCCATTTGCAAAAGTTGGAAACTCCTTCCCGTGATGCGATACAGAACATAGTCTATATTCTGGGCACCAATCAAGTAATTTATCCATCTGATCCTCTTTCCACTTGTGTACGCGATGTAATCCCAATGGGTGTGGATAGTCGATTGATTCAACACTGAATGTACGTGTGACTTCTTCGGTGGGCAAATTGACCGCGCCGTCTTCTTCTGGATCAATGCCAATACTTTCTTCGTCGCCTTGTAGCTTTCGTAATCTAGATTATACCATTAGTGCGCGTCTGTGAGTGGATGAATCTTGTCATACTTTTCTTGATACCATCGATCTTCTGCCAATTCTTCTTCTGGTTCTTCCTCCTCATTCTTCTCTCTCTTGTTGTTCTGCTTCTCATTCTCCTTTCCATTTCCATTTACCTGTGCTTCTTGATCAACTTGCTTGCCTTTGTCTTCTTTCTTGGTGTCCTGTTGATTCTCCACCTGCAATTTTTTTCTCTCGTCTTCCAGCTTCTTTTTGATTTCCTGGTCCATTTTCTTCTTCTTTTCTTCCTCTGATTTCTTCTTCTGAGCTTCTTCTTTTTTCTTCTGCTCTTCCTCCTTCTTCTTCTGCTCTTCCTCTTTCTTTTGCTTTTCTTCTTTCCTCTTCTTCTCGTCCTCTATTCTCTTCATATCGTCAGCAAAGTCCCAATTTTCTAGAACTCTTAGCATGCTACTTCTTTTCCTCATACTCAATCCTCCCCTATGACCCTTATCCTTGACAGGCGTTCCAATCAAGTCATAAGCAAAAAAGTCATCAACACTCGTTGCAGCATTAGAACACAACATGCTATCGCTGTCAAAAAGCAGGATGTGCTCTGCCGGTGCGAGATTCTCCCATAACCATGAATCCGTCATGAATTTGTTTCTTGCTTTGAGGTCTGTAAAAAGAACAGTCTGCGGGAGATTTCGTATTTGAATGAGATCTTGTTTAAGATATCGAGAGAGTGCCGCAGATGTGGAAAACCTGGCAACGTCTTCGATTGACGTATATATAAGTATGGGCCATGTTGGACCGAGGACACTGCCAAAATGCAGAACTAGAGGTATAACTTCGGGACGATAGCTATCCTCTATGATCACCGCCACTTTATTGAAAATTGTTCCGTTGAAGTAATCTCCAAATTCATCCGTTACAAGATTCGCTTGCGTTGTAGCATTTGAATTGTCCCCAGAGAACAAATTCGGAAGGGAAAATGCTAGTTTCGATGAGTTGAAACTTTTCGTGTGATTCGAATAAAAGTTAATAGCATCGTGGTTCGGATTAGAGAGTTTGACTGTCCAGATAATTATGAGGAGGATTAAAGCCCCAAATCCGATATTCCGAGCTTGACGTTGCTGTATATCGACCGACATGACCTGTGACGAGGTTTTGATGGAAGAATTGCTCAAAATCCCAATGAATGTATCCTTCTACAAACAGTTCTAAGAAGTCTACCGAAGCATCGAGTCGGATATGTATGACCTCTAAGATGAGATTGACAAGCTGTGAAAGCTCAATGGACGTTGAAAAGGATACTCTTCTGCACTTGCAAGAAAAGGCTTGGCCATGAGATAGGGCATATCAAAAAATAATTAATGAGGTCTCACATGCTTTCGGCAAGATAAGGAAATATGTATGAGAACGATCGTCACAAATCATTGAGTTCTTGCTTTTCTCCTTGATTCCAATGAGGCATTCTCAGATCAATGCAGGCAGAACTGATATTCAAAAGCCATCTTTCATGCTCTGAAAAAGGGGTATAGCATAGAAATTCCGATAGTGCAAGGAGATACTCATGAGCTTTCACGACATACTTTTTCCTGGAATCGATGTCGCCAACGAGCCGTTTCCTTTACGACTTAAAGACCAGGCATTTCATAAGACATCGTGGAAATTAGAATTGTCGAAAACGAACTTCAGCAGTTGAGTCCTGCAAGCAAATGGTTGTGGCATTCAAAATCAGCCGTGTTTCGGAATCCTATATGCCACAAACAAATCAATCAAGCCAGAGAGATCACCATATCCATTTCCCCCTCATTTCATCCCACATCATATCTCAGCACATCTCAAACGAGCTGGTTTCCTGACTGGGCTAACAAGCCACGAAGGAAGGAGAGAACACAGTCAGCCTCTATCACAAACATATGACCGGAACGAGATGTCAATTCTGAAAGGATATATGATCGGACATGATCGATTTGATAGGAAAGAAAAAGAAAACAAAAGAAAAGAAAAGGAAGGAAGGAAGAATGAGCCATGCTTGTTATTTCTCGGTTTAGTAAGGTACCTGAAAGGATGTGAGATTATAAGGATAAAATGGGATTGAACATACGCAATTATTTCTATTGTTTCATAGGGTGAATAGATACGATGAAGTTATTTTTCTTGGAAGCTTTATCTTTGATATGCGTTAGATGGATATTTCCCTCACTAGCGGGTTATTAAGTGCCACTATGCATATAATATTTACCGGACGATCTACTAATTAATTCTTGGTCCACCTAAGCCGAAGCTAGGACACTACCAAGATACCAACTTTCCCATCCCACGCTTTCAGTCTTTTACTCCACGCTGCTCGAAGATTTGTCAATCCAAAAATGTATGTAGATCCCTTTTCTTCCATACTACTCTGTACTAGCAACTCTGTACTAGCAAAGAACCCTTGAATCTATGGTAGTATCCGCTCCTTTCAAAAAGCTTCTTATCCATTCACAACATCACGTTCAAAAGTTAAAACTGCAGGCCGCGTCATGTTAACGATGAATTTCTTATCGCTATGATTTGACACTTTTTTTCTACAAGAATTCGTGTCTAACATTGGTGTTTTACAATTAGCTAGCTATTTGTATATGATCGAATTGCTCAGTTCTCGGTCCTCCAGATTGAAACCTGTCTGGAGCTAAGAGCTTTCTGAGCCCATTGCGGCAAAATCGATATCAAAAACACAATCATGTCGTCGCCAAATGGTGGGATGACTGTGGAGGATATATGGGCCACCACATCATCAACTGTGGTGGTCGCATGGTCGAAAACCACGAGACGTATGCGGATTGTTGGTGGAGTATTTTTATTTTTGTAAGTCAAACCCATATTACATTTCAGTTACACACAATATAATAACACCATGTTCTTAATTAAGTACTCTTTTCATTCTGCTTTCGAGACCTTCGATACCAGAAAGTCCTTCACTCCCCTCACTACCCACGATACCCAAGGTGTCTCTTGACTATGGTGCACCAGGACCCACCCAATTCAATCAATCCAAAGTAGCGCTTCTGATTGAAAATCGCATCAATCCAATTCTTTCTCCTCTCGTGTTACATTTCATGTCTGTCGTACCTCCCGATTGGCGTTTCCGCTTTATGGGAAGTCTCGAATCTGTCGCGCTTATGAATACCAGCCGGGCAATTCGCCAGCATGTCAAATCGGGAAAACTCGACCTGACGTATATTCCCGCCAACATGTCCACCGGATCTCAGGAAGAGATCAGCAGATTCCTGACGAATTTATGGCTCTATGAGACTGTTCTACAACCTGCAGAGTGGTTACTTGTTTTTCAGACAGATAGTATGCTCTGTGCAAATAGTAGACAAAGTCTTAACAATTGGCTGGATTACGATTGGGTAGGAGCACCCTGGAATCCTAACGGGAAGTTTGGAGGAAACGGAGGGTTGAGTTTAAGACGCGTGAGCGCCATTGTTGACGTTCTCCGTAATCAAGTGCGGATAGACGATTCGGAGGCAGAAGATGTGTGGCTTACTGATCGATTGGGACATCGACCTGGGGCCAAACTTGCAAATGGAACGACTTCACTCACATTTTCGGGAGAAATGCACAGTGGACAAGGAGAGCGAGTTGCTGCCGAGAAAAAGAAGGGGACAGGCAATGATGGGACAAAAGCTGGTGAGCTAATCAAAGGAGTTGATGATTGGAGAGATGGATTTTATGAACCGATGGGTTATCACACTGGTGGGAGTGGAGTCACACTTCATGCTGGGATTTGGGGAACACCCGAGAAGAGAAAACATATTTGGGATTATTGTCCCGAGGTAAAGATGATTTTCAAAATGGATGCCGCCAAATATGTCCCAGGGGATTGCAATTCGAATTGGAAACGATGGGATATGGGACAAGAAGGTGTCGATCAGGTAGATGAGAATGTGGAAATCATCGATGGAGTGGAATATCCCATGTTACCTGCAGGTTTAGTACCCTGGTAGCGCGAAAGCGAAATCACTTCACGACACTTTTTCATCAACCTCTACTTCAATATTAGGTATTTTTCTACATGTTTACCGGCGCGTCGTGAGTTGGGATGGAATATAGAAAATGGGGCTAGAGAACATCACATATGTATGGGCTACACATCATAAATCATTTTGCTTTCTCTAAAAATGGAGCTAGAGCTATGGCAAATATGATATCCATGAGATTATGTATCTATCTATCTATCTAGAATGAGAGTGGCGTCGATTTCACACTCTTTCCAGAACGATCTTTTTGCAACAATTTTTTAAGACGTGGCAATCTAAATACACGAAAAACAACCTCGCTGAATTACCTCAGTCGAAACCCCTCTCCCCTATCTCTAAACCCAAAACATACTCACAGCAAAAGCATACCCAGATACCTATCCCTTACATACGAATGTCACTCTAAACTCACCAGTAGCTCTGTTTCTTCCCTCCCTTACATACAGCGAGAATCGGCGTCTCATCCATGATTCGGGTGGCGCGGTGTGGCGAGATTTCTCCTTGGATGCCGATGTTACTCTAGGGATGGATTGCTACACCCCGGACGCCGCATTTGAGGTTGAGGTTTGAAGGATTTGTTTTTGGGGGGTAGGGGTAGGGATAGAGGAGGGATGATTTAGGTTGTTAGGGAGCAGGTTTCTATTTTTGGGTGGGTAGGTTGTATTTGTCATGACATTATTGTTTTTGATTGTTGAAATTCGAAATCTGAATATTGAGATTGGACGATAAGATATTCTGAATATCATGTCTCTATGAACAAGAATTAATAATCAAATTAGTTGAAAATACCGCTTCAGAATGAACAGTCAAACGCTTCCTGAATGTTCTTTTATAAGTCGGATATTTACATGCTCTCCAAATTCCAGCCCAGATCTGAGGTTCAATTGTTGGTGCCGATACTCATGTGTCAATTTGTATTTAGGAACATGTTTTGATATACAGTACATTTTATTCATATGAGAAAACCTCCATCTAAGTGGATCTTCCATGCCAAATAAGACATTTCCATCTCCTTCCCATGCCACCTCCCCTCCCACATTTTTCCCTATTATCACCTCCTTGATACCTCCCAAACATCCTCTATGTCTGCACATCATCTCATAGTGCGAAATTCGAGGCTTGAGTTCTCATGTCTCTGATCATCTGACCAGACTCTCGTCTTCAAAGAAAAACGGAAAATTATCCAGAGTCATTGGCCCTATCATCTGCAATGGTGAATAGAATGGATGTCAATTCTAAAAGAGCATGCTTTTCTAAGTTTTCTCGATTAAACTTCAAACACGAGACGCCTAACCCATGAATCGCGAGAGTTTCCAACCAACGAAATCAAATTTGCCATTCATTGAGCTAGTAAAAATCTAACCGTAAAGACGCCTCCAGAAAGCTTGCACAACAACCGTCTTCCAATATCGAAAGAACGTCGACACAAAAATCGGCGTAGCAATCCCAAATACATAATAAGCCCCCCAAAGTTCACTCCTCACTTTCGTGAAAGATGCAAAAGCGAGAACCTTAGCCTCCCATTCCTCAACACTAATCTCACCCTTCATCAACCGTTCCAGCAGCTGCGCATCCAGCGCGGCCTGATTAGTACTCGAAGCCACATGCGGACGAAACGTCGCAAGCGAATCACCTACAAAAAGTAATTTTCCATCAAAAATGTAAGGTTTGGCGATTTCTCGATCGTTGACGGCGGAGATGAATGGTTTGGTGGTCTTTTGGACCATTTCGGCAAAAGGCTCGGGGAGGATCTCGAGAGCGAGAGCTTTCTGCTTGTCCCATTTTTGGGGGTCTACCTTCCCAATGGGCAAAGTACTATGGTGTCTACGCCCGTCGATATCCGTCATCACGTCAATGTACTCCTGAGAGCTCTCGGGGTGTTGATTGTACCAGACCCAGTTGAGCTGTCGGTGGCCAGGGGAAGTATTTCCATCTTCTCCTGGAATGGTATAGCTAGCACCCGGTTAGATTACAAATACAAACACTTGAATGTATCACATACAGAACAATATAGCCGCCCTTGTATGCGAAGAATGTCGTTTTGTACGCAAATGTTGTTCTCGTTTTCTCTGAAATCCCACTTTCTAGCGCCGTTCCTCTCCAGGCCACATACCCAGCATAAGTAATCTTTAAATTTGGTTGCAAAGCCTGGCGTACTTTTGAAGAAGATCCATCAGCTACAAGAACAAGATCAGCGTGAACTGTCCCATACGTTTCAGTTCCCGTATCGCGGTATTTGACAGTGACTAGCCCATCTTTGTATTCGACTTCAGTCACTTCCTTCCCGTGATCGTATATAGCCGAGCCTCGCTGCTGCATTTGCTTGGGAGGTTGAGCGCAGATGTCACTCTTCAAACCGTCAAAATTGGCTCTCATGACGTTATATAGAATTTTCCAGCTGGTCATTGCAATGGATATATTCCACGTGCTTTTAACTTTGACATTTTGATCAAGATATTGGACATTTGGACTCGTTACAGAGTATGGAGTCTTGGTCTCGTCATATTTGTCAATAAATGCTTTGGCATGTTCCATGGCAGCTATACCAGCCCCGAGACTCATTTGCTGAGAAAGGGAATTACGTTCAAGAATTCGAACATTGTATCCCAGTCTTCGAAGGACGATTCCGTGGAATAGAGCAGTGAGAGAACCTCCAACCTGTTTGAATGACAACTGTCAGCCTTTGAATCAAATTCCGAGTTATTTCCTTACAATCACGACGCTTAAAGGATTCTGCGCCATTTTTGCAAAGTTCAATTTTTTGATGGCGAGAGTGTCGTGTGTTAGAATTGCACTATTTTGAGAAGTTGATCAAATCAGTCGGGGCAAGAAAATAAAAAATTAATAACGTGGAAAAATAAGTTTGTGGATCTGGCCAGGTGTAGCCAGGTATGAGGCACAGCATACTAATGTTGGTCTTCAGTAAATCTTCCCAACCGACATGCAGATTTTTTAACAACACGTCCCGAGGTGGTTTGCATCAGACGGCTGTTTGACCAGATTAAGCAACGGTCAATCGGTTATTGGCACTTCTTTGAATTCATCCCCACACTCAAGTTGATGAGGGTGCGTCAGTAGTGTGATCACCGAATGCTAGTTGTGTCCATGACAAGACGTACCATGGTTAATAAGTCATACCAACATTACATCAAACATTTAACCCCAAAGACAAAATAGAAATCTTTTCCAGAAATGAAGTTCGAAATTGAGATCCTGAGTAAGAGTGCTAAGCTTGATATATCAAGCAAAAGGTAACAAGCCTCTTCCCACCTTTCAGCAGCAAATCTCAGCGCATTTTCAATCGAAAATACTTCTTGCGTGGTAGATCACCTTAAGCTATCATCAATCACACCCTGTGTTCACATCTAGCACGATCAACAGGTGGCCTCAGAGATACTCCGTTGGACGGAGTAACCATAGCCGATACCTATGTAAGTCTTACCAGGAAACGTCATAGTTTGCGTTTCACGATATGTCCTGGGGAGATGTAGGTATAACTGATCCCATTGCAAAAGCTCAAACATTGACCATACATACGCAGTGAAAGACTCCTACGAGCAACCCTTAGGCTTGCACTCGCGCCCAGAGAAAAAAACAAGTCAGAGTTTGCGCCATTCTCGATGGGTATGTTGATAACCTCCTATCTTGAAAATCTCAAGAACAGCTAAACTGTATTAAAATAGGAACCCACAGCTGTAGCGACAATAATTTATCCCTCGTGCAGCTGCGTAGTATCATCGCCACATTTTTGACAAGATATGATATCACTTTTGGACCGAACGAGGATAATTCAACCAACATGCTGGAGAGCTGGCCATCTGTTTCATCCCTGGGACACTCAAGTAAGACATGTAGCGGGGGAGGGTGTATGGGCGAGGGCATGTAAGAATATATGCTCTGATACCACAATGTTATGATATTGCGCCACTTTCAGCCTAGCCAAGGGATGATATGGTGTTCCTGTTAAGGGATTAAGAAAACACTTTTGTTCACCCATGGGCCATGGTGCACGCATTTGGGTCAAGAATAGACACAGGGCACACTGAGATCAGGGTTTGTATGGACACTTGTGCATATGGCATGCGTCGGGATATGCGTATGGATTTTCTTCAATTGAGGGCCAGTCTTATTAAATTCTATATGGAGCTAGCTAGGCAATGCGATGAAGTTAGTTATAAGTCGGTTACCCTACTTTCAAGCTACCAGGGTTTTGGGCTACCCTTTCACACCAAAAATCACTTTTTAAACCTATTAATATCTCTATCAATATATAATATAATTTGATAAAAATTTATATACATATAATTTGGATCGATTTAAGCTTATTCTGAAATTTTTAAATTTTTAGGATTTTTCTGTATTGAAATTTAGAACTTCAAAATATCGATTTTTTAATTTGTATGGGAATCATATATAAATTTGAAAATTTTATAAAATCTTTAATAACTTTCTAATAAAAATTACTAAAATAAACTATAAAATTTAATTATAAATTTATAATATATTTTATCTAAAAGATTTGGAAAAAATAGAAAATTTCTTATAAATAAATATTTAAAGGGGTATCCTCAAAATAACAGGGATTATTTATACTATTCTAAACTTACTGTATACTATATCTCTATATCTATTAATTTTTTTTTAATTTTTTTTTGAATTTCTATATAAATTTGAATTCAAAACTTTCAAAAAGATATATAGTTTTCTTTTAATAATTATTATTAAAAAGTTATCAAAGATTTTATAAAATTTTCAAATTTATATATGATTCCTATACAAATTAAAAAATCGATATTTTGAAGTTCTAAATCTCAATACAGAAAAATCCTAAAAATTTAAAATTTCAGAATAAATTCAAAACGATTTAAATTATATATATATATATATAAGTTTTTAATGAATTCTATTCATAAATAAGAAAGTTAGAAATTCCATTTTTGGTATAAAAAGTAGTCGAAAAGTAGCCCAAAACAAAGGTGGCCAGAAAGTAGGGTATCCGACTTAATTTTAGTTCTGCTGTAGTGAAATACATTGCCTCTTAACGCTTTTACCCATTTTGAAAACCTCAATGAGGATTTTGATTTTAAAGGCTGTTCTTCTCTATGTAAGAAACATGAATATAGATATCGCAATTTTGTGAAGAATTATACGGAGTGTAGTAGTATTTCAAGCTCATTGAGGACTTGAGCCTGGCTTCCTGGCTCAACTTCGGATGCACTGACGCCACCAACCAACGGCCAACAAATTCAACATCAATCTCAAAAGTACAATTTCAACTGCACCAAGTTCACAATCTGCGCCATTTTCTTTATCAGACCGGCACAGACGGATGAGCTCCCCCGCTCGTGTGGGATGGTGGGGTCCCGAGGTCATTTTTGTTGCTATCATGATCAACCACCTAGGTGTCATCATAACAATCTCCTTTCAATGTCCTTTTTCAGTTCGAGACTACATGATACCTTGCGGTATTGATTGACTGGAGTTCGAAATGAGTGCTGGGGGAAGATCACTTTTGTTGCCCAGTGGGTAATCAATATTCATTTACATTGCGGCACAGAATATGCAGCATCGCTACTCCAATTAATCCGTCTTATTTTTAAGCAAAGTCTGATTGTCTTTCCTTTCCTTTCATTTCTCTATGAATACCTAGTTGTATCGAATATCTTTTAAGCCACATTGTCTTCTCGCCAATCCCACGCAACCGAGCAAAAAAGCCCAGCCTATCCTCCGATCGACTCGTATAGTTGAATATGTTGCCCATAACTTCTGTATGGTTTGGAGGGGTCTCTATCCTTATGTTTATATCATGTTTTTATTTTCTGTTATGGGCAGTAAAAGATGTCCGTTATAGACTCGCGGCTCGAAAGGCTGGATGTGCGATGCCGGTGAAATACTGGCATAAGGATCCATTTCTTGGGTTTGATTTGTTTTTCCAGAGGTTGAAGGACATGAACTCTGGTGATTCTCTCGCAACCGACAGAATCATCTTGGGAGATATGGAAAGACTGTTCTTACAAACAATTGGGGCACGAAGCAATGCGTGACCATGGATCCTATTGTTATACAAACTGTACTAGCCCTCGAAGTTGATAAGTTTGGAGTAGCACCTATGAATCACCCAATGTGTTCACCACTCCTTGGTGAAGGCATCATGACAGTCGACGGTCACGCAGTAAGTACAATGAATTGATTTCATTTGTCGCCCAAGTCTCAATCTCTGCACACCAAGGCAAATCAGACAAATTACTGTAACAAACAAATACTGACTCCTGTATTTCAGTGGAAGAAATCTCGTTCGTTACTCAACCTAGTGTTTACCAAAGCTCAGGTATCAGAGCTGTCTAGCTTAGAAGCCCATGTCAAAATATTCATGGATCTCATTCCTCGAGACGGGACTACAATCGATATGCAACCACTATGCAAAAAGCTTTTCCTCGATATCTCTAGCGAGTTCGTATTCGGAAAATCTGCAAATTCTCTTTCGCCTGAAAAAAGCAGCACCGTTGGTCATCGCCTGGTTCATTTATTCGATGAGGCACTTGTGAAGATGTTCCAACGATATATCCTTGGGCGATTTAAGTTTCTTATCGGGGAAAAGAAATGGTTTGCTCAATGTGCGGAAGTTCAGGACACAGTTGACGAGCTTATCGACGAAGAATTCAAAAATCAAGCTGCTGCGGCAAAAGGTTCCGAAGTACAAACAGATATACCTTACAATCATGTTTTGCTTAAGAAGCTGGGATTCTCATGGGAAATATTATCTTCATGCTTGCACGACATCCCCAAGTATGGGCAAAGCTTCGGAAAGAAGTTCTCGATATCGGAGATCAGAAGCTGACATTTGAACTACTCAAATCGCTCAAATATGTACAGGCTGTTATAAATGAAAGTATGTCTGTTCAAGAACTGTCCAAATTAATTGATCTTCCATCTAACAAACCTTAGCACTCCGTCTCCAATCCCCCGTTGGCGGAAGTTGGAAAACCTGCCTAGTACCTTGTATCCTCCCCCACGGAGGTGGCCCCTCAGGCAAAGAACCTATCCTTGTTGAACCAAGAGACGAAATGCGTATGTCTTTCACACCACTCCACACTGATCCGGATATATGGGGCGAAACTGCATTGGATTTCTTACCGGAAAGATGGGCTGGACTCAAACAGAGTTGGAATTACATACCTTTCATGGGAGGTCGACGTATATGCCCAGCACAACAAAACGCGCTTACGGATGTTGCTTTTGTTTTGGCAAAGCTTGCGAGAAACTTCAAAGTGATTGAAAATCGGGGTCCGCATCTGGAATATGTGGACAAGATTGTGTTTACCAGAGAATGTGCAGATGGAGTTCAAATCGCTTTTATGCCAATTTAGGACGCGAACTGTCTCGAATGCATAGTGGCAACTCAACAGGGCTACCCTGCTCGGAGCATACTGCAAGTGAGATCTGAACTATAGTACAGCAGAGCCGCTGGAGCTCAGTCTTTCGAAAGCCACGCTATACAAGCTCCTAACAGTACATAAAGCCCGTAGCGACTTCACTTCGTATGACCAACACTTCAAACACAAAAATACGGAGCTTCAATACCCCTGCGGCATAGCCAAAACGCCGGAGAACTTAGTTTCCTACAAGATCTCGACTAGGAGATTTCACTCTTGACCGGCCAAGCCCAGCAGACCCCCGCGCAATAGTTACGGGGGTCATGGATACGTCAATAAGTCTTTTGCCCGCTCATCCCATGGAGACCCGGTCTCCCTGTTCTACTCTGTCAAAACTGCCCCTCTCACCTTTGGACCGACCTGGCCGCTCTTTCTAAAACATGGCTGCAACCCACTATAAACAAATGCTCTGACTGAAAACAGGCGCGGCACCTATTATAAGGACCGGTCCGCTAACATACCACCCCTTAGGTACAGCTCTTTAAGAGCACAAACCTGCTTGTCATAGGCACACCATGCTTGCAACTTGCAAGGGCTTCGGAATTTGCGAATACGCTCTCTCGATTAGAGGAGAGCATCAGTTGATAACAACAGCTTCACCCATCCAACTGATACTGTTGGCTGGCTTATTAATCCCCAACTTTGGAAAACACGTTGCGAATATCAGAGCAATAGGGGGAGCTCAGAAAATTGAGTAAAAGCATCGATATATACAAATGCCATACCACAGTACACACATAAATACAATCAACTGTGGTATTCGACAGTAACATTGAAACAATAGCAATCTCCTCAAAACCCAGACCATTGTAAAATGTTGGCGGATGTTATGACATGATTGTTGAATCAGGCACGATGATTGAGAACATCTGAATCATTGATGTGAAGATTGAACCATTTCGATCATTTCAATATTAAACTAGAAATAGAAATCAAGGATCTCTAAACCATCGAAACCCATCCAAGAGTGAAAGCATCTCAACCCACCCACGAGAATCAATCATCCAATTATTGAAACAGACTCAACGATCAAATGCTCTTCGATCATCCACTCATCCACTCATTCTCAACATCCCACCACACATTTCAATCTCTAAACACAAACACAAATCCAATCGAAATCTCAAATCATCAAACCAAACCTGCAAATACAAGGGTTTCCAATTCTAAGATCTCCAGAACATAAGGTTACGTATGTACATGTCCCTAAGTATTCAACTACAAATATCCTTTCTCGAGACCACTATCCCAATATTATAATGTTATAAACTTATATCAGTATAACATAACATTTCCCCTCTAAGACTCATTCATAAAATAAGCGTAGAAAGTACAGTGAAATCTCAATTATCAATCAAGCACTTGCTTTTATTTACTACTCTTTCCTTATTTTCTCAACTTATCAATATGATTCATCCACCTACCTACCTACCTACCTACCTACCTACCCATGCGTTATAATTATCACTACCAAAATACAAACCTTCCAACCAATACCGATTTCATATCCAATCAAATCAAATGATTTCCAAACAAAAAAAGGGATTGTATATCTCATCTCATCTCATCCCACTCAGCATTCAGCATTCAGCTAAATATATAACCATTCCGTCCGCTGAAATCTCACAAGAGTCGAGAAGGATAGGTAGGGAAGCAGTGGCACTGGTGCACGTTATCCGGCTTTCTTCTCACGTAGGTAGGTAGGTATATACATATACTCGGTAGTTGAAGAAGCCAGGATACTTACTACGACTACCTAGGTACCTATGTGACAAGCACAGATAGGATAGATGAAATGAGAATGGGGGGTGAATACTCGTTGGAAGGTGAAAATGGATAGAAAGGAATGGAATCATTTATTTATTTGATAGATGGGTGGCGTTGTGTCAAATTAGATGTTTAGGTTTCATTCATTTATTCCCCATTTTCGCATATCTGAAGTTCCTATTGTAGCCAGCCGATGATGAAGGGGTAAATAAATAAATGAATGAATGAATGAATGTATCAAAAATGTACGTATATACGTCAAACACACATAACACGGAAGAAGAAGTCCACGCTTGCAAAACTAAAAAAAAAAAAAGTAATACATATATGTATTTTTGGTATCTAACGCGTAAATCAATCCATCATTTTCCTATCAATGGAAACAAACACAAGATAATAATACAATATAATCCATCCATCGGCTTGGCAATTTCCGGCCCCGAACAAGAGAAGAATCTAGAAGAAAAAAAAAGTCTATCTAACGTGGTTTATCACCGAGTGGGCCATATCACCGAGTGGGCCACTTTCACCTCAATTCACACCTTCAAACCTATATTATTCAACAACGATTGAATCAATTGATTAAAACTATTAAGAATCTAATAATCTAGGATCTATTATATTATTTTGACAGATTCTTGTATTATAACCTGTCTTTCCGCATTTATTACAACATCAAATAGAAAGTGCTTCCCTATTAGAATTCCTCTCTTTTTGACGCTCATCACATTGAATCTGAATATCAATCTTTTACTAAGATAATATATCAAAAGCCTTTTATTCAGTAAGTATTCCTTCTTAATACAATTAGGTTTTTTTTTGTATATCAATATTTACTTAATACCTCATTTGTTTTTCGAAATATATGAATCTTTGTATTCAAAAGTGTATTCTTATAAGCTAATCTCTCTATACCTTTAGCTAAAGCTAATACAGTTTCGAATATAGGTATAGAAGAGTTTGATTAATATCGAGTTATTCAAGATTTTATTAAAGTTGATTAAAAAAAAGCTTTAGTTGGATTGTAAGAAGTTTGAGAGATTTATTGATTTAAATCGAAAGAGGGGGGGGTAGGTGTACAAATTCGAATATCCAATTTCGAAAGTATAGTATTAGGATTAAAGGGTATTAAATCTATTCCTCTGAATCCTGATTTTATATTCTGAAAGGTGATTGATTTTTTATATATAGTTTTAAAAGCTATAAAGAATTCAATCTTCAAAATATAATTAATATATATCTTGATAAACTTATCAATTTGATTATTATATAAATGTTTCAGATTCCTAATTTACTTTTGCCATATCTTTTGATATTAGTAATAATTATTACTATAAATATAATCCTTATTATAAAGCCTGTTTCATTGAAATTATAGAAATCGCTATTCAAAATACTGTATTTTGTTTTATATTTGTAATCACTCGAAATCAATCTTCAATAAGCTTAGGATTTTTGTAGAGAGCTTTTTGGAAATTATAAATATAATTAAAACGTATCTTTAATTCGATTCGATATTATATAAATCAATATACCTAAAGCTTTCTAATGTATTTCGAATTCCTCGATTTAAAAATATAATTCATTATATCTTTTATATTCTTAATATTAAATGGAAATCCTCTTGAATCCATATCAAGTATATATTCAATAATTATATTCTCCTCCAATTCTATAATCTTATAGCAATTCGCTCGAATCTCTATATATAGAGTTAAATTGTTTATTCTATAGCTGATTATTATGCAAAATATATTATATAGCTTAGTAACCTTTCGAATACTTAATTTTTTATCTTTTTGAAAAGTTTTGATGGCTAAAAGTAAATATACTTCTTTATTTGTAGATTCCATAATAAATGGTTGATAAAACGCATATTGAATATAAAGAGTACAAATTGAGGTGAAAGTGGCCTACTTAGTGATATAGCCCACTCGGTGATAAACCACGTTAATTGAACAAAAATTGGAAGAAATGTAGTACAAGCACGGACTCGAAGATCGTTTCTGTTCTCGAGAATCCTGATAAGACATCCTCCCCTCCGCATGTCGATAACCCCGCTTGGTAAGGCTTTGTGATGTAACATTGTACAGATAGGAAAATTAGGGCGTGAGAACTCGATCCTTCGGATGAACAAACACCGACTGACAGCGATGGATGCTCGGAGTTCGAAATGCCTACTGAAGCAGGCCGTGAAATTTCTTTGGAGAAATCATACCCATATGGATGGAATAGGTAGATGACGCACGTATAACGTTCGCCACTTTATTTCTTTGGTTGGGTTTTGTGCTTGATCATTACCATTGAATATCTAATACATGAACTTCGTTAACAAGAATGTTTGACATTTGACATAAAACCAATTTAAGATAAATTCATGATTGACACCCCAACACGAACTCGCATGATAGATATTAGTCTTTAGGGGCAGACTTTTAAATAGTCTGACACCAAGAAATGCGTGGAAGACGGAAAAACGGGTGCTGGCCGCTTACCGCTCGCCAAGAATTGTCCGGCTAGGATCCCCGAAAATGGATGATTTGGAGTTTGCCCAAGGGAAATTGGAAGACAGAAAAGGGGTTCAAACTTACGCAACAATTCCAGCAATTGCAATCAACACACCAATTACTGATTTATCGCCCACAGCGCGTCCAGAAGTCATCCATCCAAGAGCGACAATCGAACATGTTTTGACATGGCCAACAACAGTACTCGAGACGGGACCCGTTTGAGCAATAATGAAGAATTGTGACAAATTAATTAGACATGCAAAACCGCCCGACTAGAAGATGGAGTGATTAGCTGACATTGCAATTTGCATATACGAGTTTAACATTAATACGAGAGCACATACCATCAAAATCATAACCCATCGGTTGACAGGCACCTCCGCCCAAACAGGGAAAGTGTCGACGAATGGAATAACGTAGAGCAACATGAAAGCTGCTAATGGTGCTTGGCTAAATAATAATTGCATGCTGTTGACTTGCAATTTCTTGTGGTAACTGGCGATCCATACTGTGTAGAGAGAACTGGCGAAAATTCCAGAGAATGCGAAGATGACCCCTAACGTACTGGTGGTTTGGATATTGGCATCAGCAGCAGGCAGTGAATCGTAATAAGAAACCATTCCTACACCGAGACAAGCTGGTATCAAAGCATAGATC